CAAATAACCTACATTACTGGTGACATTGTCCTAATTTATGTAATATGGATAAAATTACAAAATTAACCCTTTTAAAATGTCTTTTAGATATTTTAAGTTGTTAATTATTATTATTTATAATACTTTTTTGATAATTTTAAAATGATATTGTTATTTTTTTTGTCCCAATATATGTGTGCCCGATAGAATTCTAAGAGTGAACCTATTTTATTATATAGCTTTTAAATATTATAATTTGGTAATTATTGTAATTTTTAATGCTTTTTAAGTCATTTGTAAATGATATATGTTGCTTCCTTTGTCCCATTTTATATAGTATAAATAAAATTTCCAAAACCAACTCAATTTTTAATATATATTTTTAAATATTTTAAATTATTAATTATTGTGATTTATAATATTAAAAAAATTAGATAGAAAATGTACAAAACTTGTATCAGCCTAGAAAATGACCACGATAATTTGATGCCTACAAAAAGCAATAAGGTTGTACGTAATTTTAAATACTTATTATATATTACTCCGTTTGTCTCAATGTGTGTAGCATAGATAAAATTTTAAGAGTCAATCAAATGTTGTTAATTGTTAAGATTTACAATACATTTTACGTAGTTTTCAATAATTTCACATTAAATAATACATATTACTACTTTTGTCTCATTTTATGTGGCATTGATAAATTAATTTTAAGAATCAGTCAATTTCTTTTTTTGTGTTTTTTTAATAAATAATTTAAGTTGTCAATTATCACGATTTATTATATTTTATACATAATTTGTAACAATAGATTAATTTCAAGAATCAATCGAATTTTTTTATATATTTTTATTTTTGAAATATTTTATGTTGTCAATTATCATGATTTATAGTATTTTTACGATAGATTCACTTCAAGAATCAGTGGAATTTTTTGTGTTTTTTTCAAAACATATTTTATGTTGTCAATTATCATGATTTATAGTATTTATATGCAATTTTTAAATATAAAAAACACAAAAAAAGACAAATAAATTAAAATGGACCGAATATATTTTATTTTTGTTGTCTCAATTTATGTGACACAAATAAAATTTGGAGAGTCATCGAAATTTTCATATTTTTTTTAAATGTTTTAAGTTATTAATTATTGTGATTAATGGTGTTAAATTGTCCAATAATATAAAGTTTAAAGGTACAACCATAAAAGAAGAATGTACAACACTATCTAAGCACATGTAACACTTGTCATGTGCTAAGTAGTAGATATTCCCACTTATTATATATAGTAACAGAAAAATATATATAGAAATGACATATTTATTATTTAATTAAATAATAAATATGTCACTAAAAATCTTGTTAGCTTTTGGTTGAAAGCTAACAAGATAGTTACAATGATAGTTGCATTGTGACTTATTATATATAGAATATCAGGGACATCATATAATTAGTAGATCGCGATTCACGTGCATGAGGTTATTAGTCGTGTTTGAAATTGCAAACAACATTACATTTTACTAAAAAGATATTTAAGCATTAATAATGCTTCTTTATTGATAATTTTTCTCCACATTTATAGGATAAGAGTAAAGGTGGAAACTAAAGCTCATTTAGTCTCATATTATTTGTCAAAATTACTAAAAATCCTTCTCGTAATTTATTTGTCATTTTACAGAAAATCAAGATATAGTTAATTTTGTTAATCTCATTTTACCCTTAGTATTAAAAACAATACAGTTAATTCTGTTAAATCTCATTTTATCCCTAGTATTAATTTTTTTTTAGTATAAGATTAGTTTGGTCGTCTTGTTCTTAATTAAAGTATAATTTATTGGAGAGATATAAGGGTAAAGTAATAAAAATAATTTTCATTTATGATTTTTCAAAGAATGCATAAAAAAATGAGACAACTAATATAGAAAGGAAAAAATAACTAATTATATCTTAATTTTCTAAAATAATAATTATTTTGACCAAGGTATAATTTTAGAAAACACGAAAACTAAAATAAATCCGAAGGAATAGGATAAACAACTCAAATTAAAAATTGCAGACTTCCATAATTTGCCTAAAAACACATCTGAATCAATAATTGGAGTGTATCAACTATTGTCCCTACTATATATTTGATTTTATTTTTTATTAATTTGTTAGACATCGTGGATCCAACTAATGTTTAGCTCAACTAACTAGTTAAATTTGATTTTAGTTTAATAATGTTTTTGATAAAATATTTATTTTAACATAATAAAAACTTAAAAATAACACCCAAAAACATTGTAAAATCACTTTCTTCTACTTAAATTTTATATATATATAATGAGTTTACATATTTCTTCTTGTGCAATCTCAATCATGGTCCACACCTTTTTCTCGTGGAGAACGTCGACTTCACATGCTCTCTTTTGTTTTTAATGTGAATTTTGGCTTTTATTAATATAAAAAATATATAATCAACTTCACATGGCTCCAATTAAGTATACTGCCATTGCCATATTATTTTAGTGCAAAAATCAGACAATGTCCTCTGGTCAACTAATTTGAATTGCAAAGTATCACACATACCTAGGTAAATTATTTTGATTTACAAATCTGGTCGGTCAAGCTTGACTTTTTTTTCTGAAATTATGTTATGTATTTTAACTTTCTTCCCCTTTTACTACTCTTTCTCCCTTATCGAAAAATATTTAAATGTTACTTTCTATTTTCCTCTTATTCTCCAGCTACTCTAAAGAAGGAGAATGGGGAACTTTCAACTTCTCTTTGTTCTTATATTATCATTCTTTTTGTCACAATTTTATGCCCAAGAATCCTTTCTCCACTGTATTTCTAGTCAATTTTCTGAAAGTAACATCACAGGAGTACTTATCTATGCTCCAAAATCACCAGCATATTCATCGATTATCGAACATGCCCAGAAAAATCCAAGATGGTTGAATTCTTCATCAGCACATCCGCTTTTAATTATTGTCCCTCGTAAAGAAAATGAACTTAAACCTGTCATTCTTTGCAGCAAAATGTTTGACTTTCAAATTAGAGTGTTAGGTGGTGGTCATGACTATGAAGGTCTCTCTTTTCGTGCTGAATCGCGATTTATCATGATTGATATGAGTAATCTTAATGAGATCGATATTGATTTAGAGGAAGAAGTGGCCTGGATTCAAACAGGGGCAACATTGGGACAATTATACTATGAAATTGCAAAGAAAAGCAGAGTACATGCATTTCCAGGAGGTATATGTTATACTACTGGCAGTGGTGGGCTAATTAGTGGTGGAGGATTAGGTTCTTTGATGAGAAAATTTGGGCTTGCAGCAGATAATGTTGTCGATGCTCGTGTAATGGATGTTAATGGAAGAATTCTTGACAGAAAATCGATGGGAGAAGACTTCTTTTGGGCCATAAGAGGAGGTGGAGGTTCAAGTTTTGGGATCATTCTTGCTTGGAAACTCAAGCTGGTTCATGTCCCTGAGAAGGTTTCTGTTTTCAGGGTTCATCGAATGCTCGAGGGAAATACTATAAATCTCCTCCAGCAATGGCAACATACATCATATTTACTACCTAAAGAGTTCTTCCTCAGAATGATAATGCAAAATGATGGAGAAAGAAACGAAAAGAAAGTCAAAGTCACATTTGAAGGACTATTTCTTGGGACAGTTAATGAGTTAATTCCTATTGTTAGTGATAAATTTCCGGAGTTTAATTTGGAACACAAAGATTTCTTCCAAGAACCAGTGATAAATTGCACTGAGAGACCTTGTTTGAAGAAAGAATGTCATGAAGTTCCCTGGATCGGGTTGGTCTTGTTTTTGTACAACAAAGAAGTTGATGAATCACTTGAGGTCCTATTGGATAACAGTGTTCCTGTATATAAAAATTACTTCAAGGGAACATCTGATTTTGTGAAGACTCCGATTCCTGATAAGGGTTGGAAAATGATTGAAAGATTGTTTCTTGAAGAGGACAGGCCTATGATAATAGTAGAACCATTGGGTGGAAGGATAGATGAATTTTCAGAATCTGAACTTCCTTTCCCTCACAGAAAGGGAAATTTGTACAACATTCAGCACTTAGTGAATTGGAATGATAATAGTGAGAACGTATCGAGCAAAAAGATTGGATGGATGAGAAAATTTTACAAGGAAATGGAGCCATTTGTTGCCAATTCTCCCAGGACTGCCTATACCAATTACAGGGATCTTGATTTTGGGACTAACCAAGAAGACTATAGCTATTCCAAGTCCAAAATATGGGGTGAAAAGTATTTCAAAAGCAACTTTGAGAGGTTAGCTAAAGTGAAGAGTATGGTTGATCCGGAGAACTTTTTCAGATACCAGCAAAGCATTCCACCTTTTGCTACTCCAGGACTGACGAATTTAATCGAAGAAGCATGGCCGAGCACTTACATTCCATCTGAATTACAGGTATTATGATATGAACTTCTTGCAAATGTATCCACAAAGGCAAAAGTGAGTACAAATGTACTATGGATGAAAATGTGAACTCGATGAGTTCAAAGTTAAGTTCTTACCGTTGAATCCATTGTACTTTTAAAATTATGGGTTCAAAATTTAATATTTGTTGAAATATTAGTACGTAATTTTTTGCACATGTATTTATGTTCTGGTGTAAAAAATATTGAGTTAAGTTGAGTCTATAAAAACCTGGATCCATTTCTTATCATTAATAAAAAAAAAAATAACGTTTGGACATTTTGAAACAGTGGATATATTTAGATTCATTTGAGTCCCTTAAATTTCAAAATGGTTTATGAATTAACATTGAATTGAAGAACATTGAATTCATAAACTTATATAGTACATTCAGTTACATTAAGTCCGCTAGATCAAAGTCTAACTGTTGAATTAATTCAGAAACTAATACAGTGAGTACATTCAAATTCATCTCTATAAATTGGATTATGGACTTAAGAAAAATCACTTTCTTTCCCCTCAAAGCATGATAGCTCATTCTGAATCCCTTAATTCTTATAGATAGCAATTTCCTGTAAAAAATATAAAATGAGAAGCTTTCAAATTTTCTCTGTTTTATTCTTTTCACTCTTTTTGGCAAAATGTTACTCCAAAAAAGAAGGTTTTCTTCATTGTCTTACCAAATACTCCCAAAAAAACGTTACGAAAAACATTTACTCCCCAAATTCTCCAACTTATTTATCTATCCTGGAATATGCCCAGAAAAATCCCAGATGGTTCAATTCTTCACATCCCGTTTTCATTGCATCCCCTAAGAAAGAATCAGAAATCAGGCCGGTCATTCTTTGTAGTAAGAAAATAGGCCTAGAAATCACGATTAAAAGCGGTGGCCATGACTATGAAGGCATATCTTATCGCTCTGAATCCCCTTTTGTTATGCTTGATTTAAGCAATCTTAATAAAATCAAGATTAATTTAAAGGAAGAAACAGCTTGGGTTCAAGCAGGGGCAACCATCGGCCAGCTTTACTATGCAATTGCCAAGAAAAGTAAAGTTCATGGATTTCCAGGCGGCGTATGCTTCAGTGTTGGCACTGGTGGAATGATCAGTGGTGGTGGGCTCGGTGCATTGATGAGGAAATTTGGCCTGGCAGCTGATAACGTTGTAGACGCTCATGTAATGGATGTTAGAGGAAAAATTCTTGACAGAGAGAAAAACAAAGATTTGTTTTGGGCGATAAGAGGAGGTGGAGGAGCAAGTTTCGGTGTTATTCTAGCATGGAAACTAAAATTGGTTCGTGTTCCTGAAAAGCTGACCGTTTTCACTATTCGTAGGAAATTAGAGGGTAACCGAAATCTCCTTCAAAAATGGGAAAACATATCTCATCAACTCCCTGAAGATTTGTTCATTAGAGCTGTTGTTCAAAATCGCAGATCATCAGAAGGAAATGTTACTAAAAAGTATGTTGAATTCTATTTTCAAGCACAATATGTTGGCCCTGTTGACGAATTAATTCCTCTCCTGAAACAATACTTCCCTGAGTTTAATTTGGAGCGAAAAGATTGCTACCAAGAGAATACTACTGCTCAAGCAGAGAAAGAATGTCACGAAGTCCCCTGGATCGGATCAGTCTTACATTTATTTTTCAGAAAACCAAATGATTCACCTAAAGTTTTGCTAGAAAAGAGAATTCCAACACGGAAAAATTTCAACAAAGGGACATCTGATTTTGTGAAGACTCCAATTCCGGATAGTGGTTGGGAAATGATAGAAAGACTGCTTTTGGAAGAAGAAAGAGTTCAGATGATAATGGAGCCATTAGGTGGGAAATTAGATGAAATATCAGAATCGGAAATTCCATTCCCTCATAGAAAGGGAAATTTGTATACTATTCAGTACTTGGTGAACTGGGGCGATAACAGCGAGAGTATATCAAGCATGAAGATAGCATGGCTGAGGAAATTTTACAAGGAAATGGAGCCATATGTTGCAAAATCTCCGAGAACGGCTTACCTGAATTACAGGGACTTTGGTTTAGGTACAAATGAAGAGGATTACAGTTATTCCAAGGCCAAAATATGGGGTGAAAAGTATTTCAAGGGCAATTTTGAGAGGCTGGCTAAAGTGAAGAGGAAGGTGGATCCAAAAAATTTCTTTAGAAATGAACAAAGTGTACCACCTTACCATTTATCTCACTGATATAGCTGAAGAAGATTAGATTCCTCGCAAGTTAATGAACTAAATAACACTCCAAAAGTGCTGAACAAATCTTCAATGCACATTTTTTAACTTGCATACATTTACACCAAGACAATAAATACAGAACTTGTGTCTTCTATGTATTCTTAGTTTAATTTTCAATTACTAATTCGATATAAATAACAGCTGCAGTAACTTTTTAGTACTCGGGCAAGTCTTGTTAAATATTTTATCTCTTGTATTTTAAATGTGTAAGTAATTTGTATTTTTATTTTTTTATAATATATTACAATATTGAAATTGCTCATTTTTATTTTTGTTTGTTTATTCTTCCTGTTCAATATTATCTTAAGATATATGTGTATGAAAATACTAGGCATATTTTGTGTTTACTGTTTTAGTATAAATGTAGAGTGCGAATAAGTATTTATCCTCTTAGAGCAACACAATTTTTATTGAAAACTGAAAGCTTGTCTGTAATATCATATTACAATTTGTGACACAAGCACTAACTGGCTTGTCTAATAATATGAGACATGTGTGATGTGAGTAAAAGGACATTTCAATTTGTAAAACTTCAGCTATATATTTGTAGAATAAGGTGGAATACTTTGTTCATTTCTGAAGAAACTTTTGGGATCCACCTTACTCTTCACTTTAGCCAATCTCTCAAAGTTGCCACTAAAATACTTTTCACCCCATATTTTGGCCTTGGAATAGCTGTAGTCCTCTGAATTTGTCCCAAAATCAAGGTCCCTGTAATTCAGATAAGCAGTTCTTGGAGAGTTTGCAACATATGGCTCCATTTCCTTGTAAAGTTTACTCATCCATCCTATCTTCTGGCTTGATATACTCTCACTGTTATCGCTCCAGTAGTTCAAGTACTGAATATTGTACAAATTCCCTTTTCTATGGGGGAATGGAATTTCAGATTCTGATACTTCATTGAATTTCGCACCCATTGGCTCAAAAATTATTTGGGGACTTTCTTCTTCCAAGAAGAGTCTTTCTATCATTTCCCAACCACTTTCCGGAATTGGAGTCTTCACAAAATCAGACGTCCCTTTGTCGTAACTTTTCTTTGTTGGAATACTCTTTTCTAGCAATGTTTCAGGTGCATCAGTTAGTTTTCGGAAATAGAAATATAAGATTGACTGAATCCAGGAAACTTCATGGCATTCTTTCTCCACACCAGCAGTTGTAATCTTTTGAAAGCAATCTTTTCGCTCCAAATTGAACTCAGGGAAGTACTTTTTAAGCAGAGGTATTAACTTATCAACAGGTCCAACATACTGTGCCTGAAATGAGAATTCCACATGCTTTTTGGTATCATTTCCTGCTGAGGAGACAGCATTTTGAATAATAACTCTGACTAACAAATCTTTTGATGTGCTATCTTTTCCCATTTTTGGAGGAGATTTCGGTTACCCTCTAACTTCCTACGAATCGTGAAAACAGTAAGCTTCTCTGGAATACGAACCAATTTTAGTTTCCATGCTAGAATAACACCGAAACTAAACTTGCCCCTCCACCTCCTCTTATCGCCCAAAACAAATCTTCATACATCTTTCTGTCAAGAAATTTTTCCATTCACATCCATCACACGTGCATCTACAACGTTATCAGCTGCCAGGCCGAATTTCCTCATCAATGCGCCAATCCCACCACCACTGATGATTCCACCAGTGCCAATACTGAAACAGACACCACTTGGAAATGCATGAACTTTACTTTTCTTGGCAATTGCATAGTAAAGTTGGCCGAGGATCGCCCCTGTTTGAACCCAAACTATTTCTTCATTTAACTCAATATTGATTTTATTAAGTTTGCTTAAATCAAGCATAACAAACGGGGACTTAGAGCGATAAGATATGCCTTCATAGTCGTGGCCACCGCTTTTGATCTTGATTTGTAGGCCTATTTTTTTACTACAAAGAATGACAGGCCTGATTTCTGATTCTTCCTTAGGGGAAGCAATGAAATTGGGATGTGAAGAATTCAACCATCTTGGATTTTGTTTGGGCATATTCCAGGATAGATGAATAAGTTGGAGAATTTGGGGTGTAAACATTTTGTGTAGTGTTGTTTTTGGAAAGACAAAGAAGAAAGTCTTCTTGTTTGGAGTAACATTTTGCCAAAAAGAGTAAAACAAAGAGAATTTGAATGATACCCATTTCTTTTCGTTGGAATAGAAAAATTGCTATCTAAAAGACTTGAAGGGATTCAAAACTACAAAGAAAGAGCAATCATTGTTTGAGGGGAAAGAAGATGAATTTGTTCATAAGTAACCTTTCAAATACTCCTACTTATAAGATTAAGTGAGGGGATGTTTGATTACTGGTCAAAGTTATACAAATAATACAAAAATTAATAATAGAAGTATTCCATTTATTAGCTACCCATGAATTAGTAATACAGTGTATAAATTATACATACTTCAATAGAGTTTTCAATATGGGCTAGCCCACTCCATTCAGGCTAACTCATACAGGCTTTGACATTTTACGGGTCAGGCCAGACTAGCCTATTTTTAGTGTGGGCTAGAAAACGATCGGCCCAACTCACAAGTACGTGGGCTACAGGCTTGCCGGGTCAGCCCACTTTTTTAAAAGTTATATATTTTTTTATAATTATTAAATTAAATTATAAATTATAATTTAAAAATATTATCATAAATATCGACAAAACAATAATACATGGTGTTAATGTTACTACTTGTTAATCAAATTCACAAATAAAATTATCTTTATAATATTTATTAAGTTTTTTTTCAAGTAAAAGTATAAATATCTAAATAGAAATATTAGCCTAATTGTTTTGCAATGATCACAATAAAACACAAAATATATGACAATATTCCAACCATAAAAAAGTAAAAAATAAACTCCTTAAAAAATCATGAAACCTATGGCGTATCTAACACTTCATGAAACCTATGGCGTATCTAATACTTAATGATCATCTTCATCAAGCATATCTGAATCAACTTGTGGAAAGGTTGTCTTAACATCTTCATTTTCATCTGCAATTTATATGCAGTTTCAATTAGTTAAATATTAAAAAATAACTAAATTGAGAATTATAATATTTAAATGTATACAAAAATATATTACCAGTTTGAGAAAAATCATGTAACCAGTTTCGAGTAGCAACAAGTGCTTGGACATTTTCATGGTGGATGCAACTTCTATACTTAGTGATTTCCTAAAAAACTTTAAATAGATTTTGAGTTTGGATCTCTTTAATTTTAAATTTTAATATTATATTATATTTTTTAATTAATTTTTATTGTCCCAAGGGCCGGTCCTACCTATATTTCTCAAGGAAAAATTGTATGAAATAGCAAACTATTAATTCAAATTAAATGTTATAACCATGGTTTATTTTGATTGTAATTCGCAGCAAACATTCCCTTTTTTTGCCATTTGATTCAATATACAATTAGCCATTTTCGGTATACAATTAGTCATTTTATACATTTCAATATAAAATGTATAAAATGCGTTTGTATAAAACGAGAGAAAAGTGTATATACAAATACAAATACATATATTTTCGTCCTATACACTTATAATTATACAAATATAGATTTTATTATATAAATTACAATGTATAAATGAATTTATACAAAACTGGACAATTTGTATAAAATTGGATGTTTGTAGTGAATTATACAAATCAAAAGCTCCATAGCAAACATAAAATTTGCTATGGAGCGCAATTATGTAAACTATAGTTATAACATACAAATATAATTTTTATGTTTGCTATATGGGAAAGTTGTTCATTTCTCAATCCCCCACAAATCAGCGTGCTTATTCAGGCCAGGCTAAAAAGTTTTTTTCTTAAATGGGCTCCAAAAATTTTAGCCCAGCCCTATTAAATCCTGGGTTAGGCCAGGTCGGCCCAATAGGCATAGCCCATATTAACGGCTCTATACTTCAATGGACTATAATAGTACTTCTGGATTTATTCAACAATTTGACTTGGACCCAAAATACATATTTGAATGCATGGCAACTCAATGCTATTATCTCTGGTCCATGTTAAGTGAACCGTAGAAATGTGACAAATTTCTTGAGAAAAATATTAAAAACGTAAATTAAAGGCTATTTTTCACTAAGTTTTTTTTTAGTTATTTCTAAATTATTCTTTCAGAAAATGTGAAGTAGACAACAATCTCATTAAAAGAAAGGATAAATATATTTTAATGTTCCAAAAAATTTCTTGAACTTTGAAAAACTCACTTATTTTAAATTATATGAAAAATATTTCAACGGTTCACTTAAAATGGATTAAAGGGAGCAATTCATAAACCATTTAATATTAAAATTCAAATCAACGGACTCAAATGAATTTAAAATAAATTATTCGTTTCAAGATATGTTCTATATCCGGGTATTTCAGTTGGCAAGATTTGATCTTATCATAAATAAGTACTATTTGGTTTTGGGAATCATTTCAATTAATCTTAGGGTGGTAGGTAATTTCTCCCACGTGGACATTACAAAATTGTTTTTTTTCCTCGATCCCATTATTCAGCTGGGAAGATTTGTACAGTTCCCTACATACAAAATAAATAGTGTTTTTCTTTATATGTTATTTCAAAATAAGTGATATTTTACATAAAAATTACCTTTATTTTAATACATAAAATTTTACATTATTAAAGAATAATTTATTTCTTTAAAACATTTAATTAAAGATAAGATAGTAACGCACTTCTTATTTCTAGAACTGAGCAATTTTTTTAAGGAATATGTTCAAGAAAAATAGTACATTTTAAAAACAGGAGGAGTATGACACTATACTTGAACTTATGTTTCAATGACGGATCTCAAACTAATGTTTGGGTCCTAGGATTCTCTCCCAGGCCTTGATAAAATGAGAAAATAGCTAAAAGTTAGTCTAAAAAAGACATTTTTTTTATTTGCTAAATATTTAATGATATTATAACATTTTAATACTCTTTTTAAGGGTAATTTTTTTTTTGAACTTCTTATGCTTCAGCCCTTTTCATAGGATACTTGTCAAAATGTTATTGAAGAAGACTTCCCTGAGTGCTAAAAGATTACCGTATATGTTATTTTATTGGACTTAATTAATTTATTGTTTTGGTGTAAATATATGTGAGTTCATATTTATTGTTTGAGCAACAGTCAAAAGTTTGTTTAGCATTTATAGCACATAGTACAAAATCTTGCACGGACTACACACTATATCAATATGATAACTGATAAGGAGTTACACTTTGTTCACTTCTGAAGAAATTTTTTGGATCTACTTTACTCTTCACTTTAGCCAGCCTCTCAAAATTGCCTTTGAAATACTTTTCACCCCATATTTTGGCCTTGGAATAGCTATAATCCTCTTGATTTATTCCCAAACCAAAGTCCCTGTAATTCAGATAAGAAGTTCTTGGAGATTTTGCAACATATGGCTCCATTTCCTTGTACAATTTCCTTATCCATCCTATTTTCTGGCTTGATATGCTCTCACTGTTATCGTCCCAGCTCACAAAGTACTGAATATTATACAAATTCCCCTTTCTATGAGGAAATGGAATTTCAGATTCAGATATTTCATACATTTTTCCACCAAATGGCTCAAAAACCATCTGAGGTCTTTCTTCTTCCCGAAACAATTTTTCTATCATTTCCCAACCACTTTCTGGGATTGGAGTCTTCACGAAATCAGATGTTCCTTTGTGATAATCCTTGTGTGTTGGAATACTCTTTTCTAGCAAAACTTCAAGTGAATCATTTGGGTTTCTCCAAGAGAAATACAACACTGATCTGATCCAGGGAACTTCGAAGCATTCTTTCTCTGCATCAGCAGTAATATTCTCTTTGAAGCAATCTTTTCGCTCCAAATTAAACTCAGGGAAGTATTGATTGAGCAGAGGAATTAATCCGTCAACAGGCCCAATATATTGCCCCTGGAAATAGAATCCCACATGGTTTTTGGTATCATTTCCTTCTGAAAATACGCCTTTTTGAACAAACGCCCTGACGAACAAATCTTCAGGGAGTTGATGTGCTATGTTTTCCCATTTTCGGAGGAGAGTTAGGTTACCCTCTAACTCCCTACGAATCGTGAAAACAGTAACCTTTTCAGGAACACGAACCAATTTTAGTTTCCATGCTAGAATAACACCGAAACTTGCTCCTCCACCTCCTCTTATCGCCCAAAACAAATCTTCATTCATCTTTCTGTCAAGAATTTTTCCATTCGCATCCATCACACGTGCATCTACAACGTTATCAGCTGCAAGGCCGAATTTCCTCATCAATGCACCGAGCCCACCACCACTGATGATTCCACCAGTGCCAACACTGAAGCAGACACCGGCTGGAAATGCATGAACTTTACTTTTCTTGGCAATTGCATAGTAAAGCTGGCCGAGGGTCGCCCCTGTTTGAACCCACATTGTTTCTTCCTTTAAATCAATCTTGATTTTGTTAAGATTGCTTAAATCAAGCATAACAAAAGGGGATTCAGAGCGAAAAGATATGCCTTCATAGTCGTGGCCACCGCTTTTGATCTTGATTTGTAGGCCTGTTTTTTTACTACAAAGAATGACAGGCCTGATTTCTGATTCTTCTTTAGGGGAAGCAATGAAATTGGGATGAGAAGAATTCAACCATCTGGGGTTTTTTTGGGCATATTCCAGGATAGATGAATAAATTGGGGAGCCTGGGGTGTAAATGTTTTGTGTAATGTTTGTTTCAGAATATTTAGAAAGACACTGGAGAAAATATTCTTCTTTGGAGTAACAACATTTTGCCAAAAAGAGTGAAAAGAACAGAACAGAGAAAATTTGAAGGCTACCCATTTCTTATAAAAAAAATAAAAAAAGGTGATTCAGGATGATATATATAAAGAATGAGTTACCATGCTTTGAGGGGACAGATATGAATTTTCTCATGTCTATCCCAGTAATCCATTTATAGAGATAAATTTACTCATATATATCACCATAATCTGATTTAATTTAGGGACCTTTAATTTATATGAGTTAATTTCTTTCATGATCACTCAACTAACCGTTTTTATCTCATAAAGCACTTAACTTTGTTTTATAGCACAAAAATCATTCAACATATGGTAATTATATCAGAAAGTCACTCAACTTTGATTTTTAATAGACAATTCGTCCAACTATTGACATTTTAACTATCGTAGATGAAATGACAATAGTTGAGTGATTTCTCTAAATGACTTTATGAGACAATAACTATTAGTTTAGTGATTTTTGTGTTACAAATAAAGTTGAGTGCTTTATAAAATAAAAGCTATTAGTCGATATGAGAAATTGACTCCGATTTATAGAGATGAATTTAGTGTATCTGAATGCACTATATTTGACCCATAGGACTAATGTATATTAGTTGCTGATGTAATGTATTTCAATTCAATGTTAATTCATAAACCTATTTAGAAATTTAAAGGACTCAAATGAATTTAGAATGAATGCATCGTTCCAAAATGTTCATTCCCAAAAATCATAACCAAAACTCTTGTATAAATCTAGAGAAAAGGATGTTTATATAAATATTTGGTTTTAGGGTCATTTCAATTAATCTCCTAGATCCCAATATTCATTTGGGAAGACTTGTACAATGAAATATCCATAAACATATATTTTAATTAGGATTTCAATTAATGTTTGGGTTCTAGAAAGGGAAAATAAATAAATTACCTCCCAAAAGTTGTCCCGGCAATTCGATTTCACACTTTAATTTTTTGGGTATTTTTTATCCTCTATTTTTATTCAAAGTGAAATTAATTAATTTCCCTAAGAGGTGAGGTAGTAAAAAAAAAAAAAGTGGTTCTACCTTGCTACAGGCAAGTAATTTATGTATTTTCCCTTTTAGGAATACTTCATGAACTTATCGACAAACACTTAAAGTTGGCATCATGACTTTTTACTTAGACATCTTAATTAAGATTTATATCATTTAAACAACTAAATTATGGTCATACTGGCATTTTGACATTTTTTGTTGACTTGGTAATTTATGGGTGTTCACAAGACATATTGGGACATGTTGAGGTATCTAAATGTATATTTTCAAAGTCGAGTGATTACTTGTTAATTAAGACCAAGTTAAGATGTTTACCGATGCCTTTTATTTTCATTTGCAATGATTTTTTCTTATAAAATATATTTTCTATTAATTTAGCTTTAAATAATAAACTAGTTGTTGACACCCAATTTTGACCCTCCACAATTTAATTAATTTTCAAGCTTCTTCAATTTCAAACAATTTGAAATAATTGTTTTCGAAAATCAAAATACTTTCGAAATTAATTTCAAGGCAATTTTTTGCCATTTCCGTATAAAATATATATATTAAATTCATATATCTACTACTTTTAATAGAGATTAGGAAAAATGGTTTTACCAAAAAATAGTGTTTTAATTGAATGTGCATTTTATTTCCCTAAAAATTGACTAATTCATGAGTTAATTGATATAGTTGATCTTTTATTTTGAAATAATTATTTTATCTTGTTAACTTAAGAAGCTCGATTAACTAATTTTAATTTGCATCGAACTGCATTCTTCGAATTTAATTTCTTGATGAAATACATTTATTTGGATCCAAATTTTAGGCCCAATTTTCCAATAAACCGGCCCACACCCTTAATTATTCAACAATTTTCCTAATCCTCCTATACATCACGCGCCCACACATTTTTTTCCCAAAAAGAACACACATAACTCCTCCTACGTGCCCCTCATCCCACTTCTTTCTTTCTTCTTCTTCTTCTTCTTCAGCAAAAGCAACTCGAACCCAACCTTAAATCCTCGATTCACCGCCTCAATTTCCCTTTTTCTCCTTCGACTCGTACAGCTAAGCGTGCTTGGCACGAGCTCGAGGACTATCCTCCAAGACGTTACCAAGGTTTTTGTCCCCTCAATTGCTATTTCGTTCAAAAAATGGTACGAATTCATACACTAACCAGTTGGCAATCTTATCTGCTAAGGTATTTTGGACTTTTGCATTATTCCCACATCGTTTTTCCCCTCAAATTCGACTCAGAAACTGCCCTATAAATACCCTTCTTTTGCTCACTGTTCGGGGGGGATTTTTTTTGGAGACCACAGAGTACCCTAAAAGTTTTTTTTTTGGGAATTCTTGGTTTCATAGTTCAAAATTTTGTGGCTCCGTGTGGTTGTTCGAGTTGAAGAGGTGGAATCGTCTTCCCAACTCGTCGTTCCGGTTCACTGCTCAGGACCAGGTAATTCCCCTTCTATGTTTCTTTTATTTTCACATTTGTTTTCCCTGCTTGTTGTTGCAATCTGGTAGCTAAGTTTGTAGGTGTAAATTCAGCATTTTAGGTTGATTAGTAGTTAGTAGTTACTGCCTTCATTAAAAAAAAAAAAAAAAAAAGACATGTGAGATAGTTATGCCTTCCTCTCTATTAATTTAATTTCAGCATCTGCTATTGTCTTAGGATGAGTTTAATCAGTGTTGAATGGAGTTGTGATTTTTTTTTTATGTTCAAGAATTCCTAGCTATCATATTGGAGTCTGTAACTTGCTTTTATTTTGATTTGGAAAGCTTTCGAAAGTACTTAGTTCTCTTGATTGTCTCACCTATCTAAGTTGCAAAAATAAAATAAAATTGAAATATGGAGTTGTACACTCCCATTCATAATCAGTGAAATCCCCATTTCCTTATCTAACCCTTTACGTAGTTAAGCATTCATTTACATTATTTGGGCTGTATGTATACATTTGGATTTTTGCATATCAGTAGAGTATTATGCATTCCTTCCCTTGTTTACATTCTGTCCAGTTTCCCTTCACAATGTGGGTATCTTGATTGCTTCTTATGTTAAGGATCTTATTTGTTCAGGAATCATGAGTACGTTGATCCTAGATTTAGTTGAGCTCTAGATAAAGTTGAGTTTTAACTCAACTTCTCTTTGGTTGCTCCTAAATCCCAAGATCCTCATGTCACTCTTTTGAGTTATAGGTCCTAAATTACGTACATTAGCTTCGTTTGGAATTCATAAGTTCAAATTTCATTATTATATATACAGAAAAGGGTCAAAATTGCCCCTGAACTATGCGAAATAGACCACTTATACCCTCCATTATATTTTGGGATCAAAAATACCCCCGCAGTTATCCCAGGAGACCATAAATACCCTCAAGAGTTAGCACCCCAATTTTTTAGTGACGTGGCAAGCCACATGGGACTAATCCCTCCACCTAAGCATTGCCAACTAAGATTCACTACAAAAGAACTTGACTTTTAGTGGCGACAAAGTCGCCACAAAATCCCAAAATATTGCCACTAAAGGTTATGAGTGATTTTTAGTGGCGACTAAGGCTCCAACAACCATTCGCTAGTAAAACCTATTTTTTCAACACAAAAATATGATAATTAATTTTCGATTGCGACCTAATTTTCTCAAATAAATAACTTGCAATATCCATATTAAAAACATCCAATATTATTACGAAAAATAATCAAAATTAGTTCTCGATTCAAATCTCCTACTATATATATATATAATGCATCATTGTACATTTTATACATTTACATATGACATAAAAATAAAACATATAGTGTCTTCAAACTCCTACTTAATCGATATCATATTTGGTTTTTTAAAAATAATGAAGAAAAAAACACAAAATTAGAATTTAATGTTAAAAACTTTTAGTGACGATTTTCTGGGCTTTTGTGGCGACTGTTGTTGCCGCTAAAGATCTAGTTCTTTTGTAGTGAATCCTAGTTGGCAACGCTTAAGTGGAAGGATTAGTCCCACGTGGCTTGCCACGTCAACAAAAATTTGGGGTGTTAACTCTTGAGGGTATTTGTGGTCTCTTAAGATAACAGCAGGGGCATTTTTTATCCCAAAATGTAACGAAGGATATAAATGGTCTATTTCATATAGTTCGGGGCAATTTTGACCCTTTTCCGTTATATATATGTTGTTCTATTTGAGAATTCATCTTAAACTTTAGCTATCTAATGTGATAGATTGACATTATTTGGCTTGAGTTTGTGCATTTATCTATTACCTATAGCTATCGATTTGGAGTTCGCTTAAGCCGCTAGTTCTAACAAAGTGAAATACTCCAGCATACTCTCTAATTTGCATCAGTTTATTAGTTGTGTATAACTACCTTTGGTGTCTTCAGTCGAAGAGTTTCAATTATTATTTGTTTCAAAAGTTCTAGTTATGATTAATTGACTAATTTTGTGAGTTAGAGTTAGCATGTTGACTGATAGATTTAAGAATAGTTGCTGCCCGCCTGCGCATCTGGGATCTCATCTATTTGGGATTTCATGAATTGGCTCTATTAGGCTGCTGATTCGTTATTTATTAGTGGTGTTGTGTTTCTCCTCGTCTATTTGCTCTTTTTATTTTATTTTATTATGAAAACACCTTTGTTTCTCCTTCCCCGTTTTTTTTTTTGAAATGGGAATGTTTGGTTTGGAGTCTTAATTATTTTTCTCTTTGTTGAATTGCATAGATCAAGATGGCAAATAAGATGTTGTGTCCTTCTTGTCTGTTCTGCTATACATAGGTGTTAAGTTTGCAATTATTATAGTAGCCATTATCAGTTTCCCATTCTTTCATATTTAGTTTGGGTGAAGAGATGTGTAGGTCTTAAGTATTTAAGATCCTTCTAATAATTATTTCACGTAGAAGTTAAATCGATTTGTTAAATAAATCTAGCGTTGCCTTTGCATATATGTGAATCTGTTGGCCTGTGATATGAACCTTTGGGATGCAGCTTTTAATCTAAATCAGTAATTGTCATTTTTAGTTCATTATCGAAACGGCCAATGTGTGACAGTTCTG